ACATAAGCCAAATGGCATCTGCTTGAAAGCGAAAGTACCATAGGGACATGTGAAAGTTGTTTTCTCTTAATCTTTCGGAGCAATAAGGATTTGGTTGTATCCCGAATATCCATCTATAAAGCAATAGAAAGAACGACCGGCCAACCTATCAAGCATTTGATCAAGGAAGGGAAGTAGAAAATGGTCTTTCCATGTGACTTTGTTTAGTTTGCGATAGTCCATACACACTCTCCACCCGGTAACCGTTATTGTGGGAATCAAATCATTCTTGTCATTGGTGACCACTGTTATGCCCCCCTTTCTTTGGGACACATTACATCAGAGAAGTCCACGAACTGTCGGAAATGGGGCAGACAACCCCGACATCTAACCACTTGATTATCTCTTTTTTGACCACGTCTTGCATGGCTTCATTGAGTCTCCTTTGATGTTCAATGGATGGTTTGGCATCTTCCTCCAAGTTAATCTTGTGCATGCAAAATCCGTGGCTGATCCCCCAAATATCTGCCAAAGTCCACCCAATAGCTTTCTTCCTCTTGTGGAGCACCGCCAATGTAGAGTCAACCTGCACGTTAGTCAAACAAGAGAAAAAAATAACCGGTAAAGTAGAACAAGGGCCAAGAAATTCATACCTAAGATGTGCAGGCAATAGCTTCAACTCCAAGGTAGGAGTCTCTTTAATTGAAGGAGTTATAGGAGGAGTTTTCCTATTTTCAAGATCCAAGGAAAGTTTTCGGGGTGCATAGTTGTACGACCCCATTCCTTACAAAAGAATTCACACATTCCATGAAGCCATCCATCTCGTCATCATCAAAGTTGAGCAAGACGGTCTCCAACATATCACCCACATTAATCGTGGCAGTTGTATCATCAATAATCACATCGGTCACCAAGTCCACGAAAGAACACATTTCATTGCTATTCGGTTGCTGCATAGATTTGCACACGTGGAATACCACCTTTTCATCATCCACCCGGAAAGTGAGTTCTCTAGCTTCCACATCAACAAGAGCCTTCCCTGTAGCAAGGAAAGGTCTTCCAAGAATAATCGCCACCTCATAGTCCACTTCACAATCAAGAATAACAAAATCCGCCGGGAGAATGAACTTATCAACAAGAACCAATGCATCTTTAATCACTCCCAACAGTCTCTTTATTGTACAATCGGCCATTTGTAATTTCATAGATATGGGTCTTGGTTTCCCAATTCCCAAGGTCTTGAAAACCGAATAGGGCATCAAATTGATACTCACCTCAAGATTACAAAGAGCTTTGTCAAACTCGACACTTCCAATGGTACAAGGGATTGTGAAAGCACCGGGATCTTCCAATTTAGGAGCCATTGAATGCATAATTGCACTTACTTGATGAGTGACTTTGATAGTTTCAAAATTCATCGACCACTTATTTATCACCAAATCCTTCATAAACTTTGCATTACCGGGCATTTTCTCCAAGGCTTCAACTAATGGCACATTTATTGAGAGACTCTTCATCATGTCAATGAACTTTTTGAATTGGTTCTTGTCATTTTGCTTGGCAAGACTTTGAGGATATGAAGGAGGTGTAGGCAATGTGCCTTAGTCTTTTGCACTATCGGTTCCGGTATGTCAATAACATGATCCCTAGACGGGTTCACTTCCTCATCAATATCAATCCGCATTTCATCATTTGCTTGCACTGCATTGTTAGGGATCTCCTCTTCTTCTACCACTTTCTCATCATCCACAAGTTGCCTTTGACTTGAGGTGGGTGCATTCCCACCTCTTCCACTTCTTGTAGTAACGGCCATGGCATGTCCCGTATTGTTCCCACCCTTTGGGTTTACCACTGTGTCACTTGGTAGTGCCCATTTAGGACGAGAATTTAAAGCATGAGAGATTTTCCCCATTTGCACTTCTAAGTTGCAGATCGATATTTTATGTGAAGCAAGTTGGGCATCGGAATCGACATTCTTCTCCATCATTTAGAAGAACTAGGACCATGAGAAGGATAAGGAGGTGGGTTGCTCGGTTGTTGATACATCGGGAGCCTTTCAAAACCTGACCCCCGATTTCCTTGATTGTTACTCCACCCGCCTTGATTGTTGCCTCCCCAATTGCCTTGGTTATTGTTGTTATGCCAATTCCCTTAATTATTGCTTCCACTCCAATTGCCTTGATTGTTATTTTTATTCCAATTGCTTTAATTATTTTGAGGTCTCCATTATTGTTGGCTAGGTGCCTTGGTAGTTATTTCTTGGCCCTTGAAAGTTGTTCACATATTGGACCTCCTATTCTTGGTCATTGTAAGATTCATCTTGATCAAATCCCCTATCATCTTACACAAAATTGTCCATTCTTTGTTGCACTTGTGGACTTCTTGTTCTTCGCTTGTTCACCATCATACCTACTCCCTCCATTGCATTGACTTGCCTCGGGTTTTGCACTTGTTGAAGTTGAGCCTTTGCAAGTTGGTTCATGGTGGTCGTGAACTCGGCTATGGCTTGCCCATGATCATGCAACTCTTTGTGAAGAAGAATCACATTAGGATCACCTTGTGGAACATTGGTCTGAGATTTCCACGCTGATGAAGTATCCTCCATCGCATCCAAGATATCACACGCCTCCGCATAAAGCGTAGTCATGAAGTTCCCACCGACAAGTTGATTCACTACACATTGGTTGGTTGTATTGATCACCCGATAGAAAGTTTGTTGAATTATGTTCTCCGTCATATCATTGTTGGGGCACTCTTTCACCATTGTTCTATACCTTTCCCATATCTCGTGTAGTAGTTCATTGGGCTCTTTCTTGAATGCTAGAATTTTATCCCGAAGAATAGCCATGTGCCCGGGAGAGAAGTACTTAGAAATAGATTTCTTCGCTAGTTCATCCCAAGTATGAATGGAATAATTTGGCAAACGTTCTAACCAATCTAAATCTTTCTCCTGTAGAGAGAAGGAAAAAAGCCTTAGCCTCAAAGCATCCTCGGAGACATTTGTTTGCTTACTCCCCCTAACACGTATCTACGAACCCCTTCAAGTGTTTATATGCATTTTGACTCGGTGCACCTGTGAAGAATCCTCGTTGCTCGAGTAAAGTGAGTATCACGTTGGTTATTTGAAAGTTGCCTATCCTAATACGGGGAGGGACTATAACACTTGCATACCCTTCATTCGGCAACACCCAGTGTGGAGCCGCTTGTGCTGGAGGTAGGGGTGGAGCGGGCACATTGTCTTGAGGCGCTCGGCCTCGTCTATTGGCTTGAGGTTCAAGAGGGACCTCATCCATTTGATCATCCTCAACGTCTACATCCCCTAAAGCTATGTTTCCGAGCTCGTTGTTTGCCATGATTGCACCTCAATAACTCAACACATTAGCAACAAGGAAGGAAAAGAAGATATTCCCAAAAACACACCTAAATTTATAGCTAACATAGTTTTTTAGCTCCCCGGCAACGGCGCCAAAAATTGATCTCGTCCAATTTCACACCTAAATTCAAGGTTATGAAACGGTCGAATGCAATGATAGTACCCAACAAGAGTCGGGGTCGATTTTGATAGGGAGATATATATGAAAGTTAGGAGTATATATTATAGTATATGAATTTGACTATCTCAATTTACACTTCCACAAATTGGAGTTGTTTTTAAGTCTAATTTAAAATTTAGATTGCAAAGTTAAGAAAGAAAACTAAGAAATTATTTTTGTTGTTTTTCAAGTTGTGTAAAAAGCCTAAGGCTATGACCATCGCCTAGGGGTTTGCCTAATGGGATATAAACCTTAATACTTATTTTATTGATCGGGGTATATTATAGCTAACACTCAATTATCCACTCAATACCTCTTGATCAGAGAGAGATTTTGTCCAATTTGGCTTTCTTAAATCCAAATGGGTATTGCGCAAAACGATTGATAAATGCTCAAGTCGGGTTATTACTATCTCTAGGTTGAACCCTTTAATTGGGATTATCAATCTCTCGATTGACCCAATTTCTTGTTACCCAAGTTTTCCTAGACTAAGTCTCTCTTTCTCAAGTAGAGACCAAGTCAAATAGGCATGAACTAATGTTTGCAACCATTAATGCCACAAATTAAAGCATGAACAAGGCTAAATAATAAACACCCAACCATAAACATGCATTAAATTAAACACCCATAAGGTTTACACACTAGGGTTGGGTGACAACCCTAGTAAAAATCTGAAGAAATGATAATTAAACTCATATTGCAAGATTAAAATGATAAAATCTATGTTAAAATAGCCCAAAATATGAAAAACTACTAAAAGAAGTAAAGAGAAACGACTACTGTAGCTGTTGATGTCAAAAGTTAACCTAAAATTGTGAAACGCGTCTATTTATACAAGGCAGGAATTTCGGACAAAAATGCCCTTCGTGAGGTTCTTCGGCCGCATAATTCCATGTGCGGTCCGTAGATTTTCTCAAGTTGTCAGGAACTGGAGGTCTGCGGCCGCATAATTCTGATCTGCGGCCGCGGGACATTCTTTTTGCGATCCGCACTTTTACATCTGCGGCCGCACTTGATATTCTGCGGTCCGCACTTTTACACCTGCGGCCGCACAACGCTTCCTATGCGGCCGCCTAATTCCTGTGCGGTCCGCAGTTTGAGGGACTTGAAATACACATTCTCTGAACTTTTGTTCCTATCCATCTTTTGCGGCCGCACAATTCATGTGCGGATCGCACTTTGCACAAATGTCTGCTAGCTTTTCCTTCATCATCTGCGACCGCAGATGGTATTCTGCGGTCCGCACTTCTGAGTTTCTGTGCCTTTTATGGCCTTGAGTTTAAATTACTACTTTTTTAGTTGGATTTCATCTCGGGAGTCAATCTTCCAATATTCCTGCAATTTAGCACATTTTATCAGTTTTTGGAAATACAATTAAACGTGTTTGGACTAAAACAAAAGCTAAAATGCGCTAATAAGTAGTAAAAATCCCTACTTATCAAGCGCTAATCATCCTCCATCCTCCGGCAAATTCTAGAATAGCCTAGAATGGAAGGCAGAAGCTCGGCAGAAAAGGCTGAGAGCCGGGAAGCGTTGAGGCCGAGGGTTTTGAATGGATTTTTAAGTGGAAGGAACAAGGGAAAGGCCAAAAACTCTATTCACTAGATAGATTGTGTGCCTCGACATTCTTAATTACTCCGTTCGAAATTTAACAATATTATGATTTATTAATCTTTAATATAATATTATAAACCTCCAACCTTAAGAGTATTTAAAATCTAGTTAAAAGTTGAAAAGTAAGATTTTGGATTGTTGGATTAGTTAGTGAATAAATATTAGTAGTAGATGAGATTTCATCGAAAAATTATTTTTTGATTTCTGTGTAGGAGGGGATAAATCTCTATTATTTCACGCAAATTTGATAAGACATGGGAGAAGTCGCCTTTTATCAAATTGTTTTTATTAGATTAATATTAATAATAAAAAAAAAATAATTTTTTCTTAAATTTAAATACGTGAAGTTCATTCATTTCACATCGAACTCAACGAATCAAAACTCAACATGGATCAAGGTAAGTCTGTCAAGAAATTCATTCCTCTTTTGAATTACACAAATCTTACCGGATCGAAATTCGAATAAAAGATAAAGGGCTCCTCACTCATAAGTCATAATTAAATATATGTTATGAAATATTATAATTATATTAGTTGATGTCTATAACTCCTAAAGAAGTTACTCCCACTATTCTTCTTCATTAACCTCCCACTACTTCTTGTCATTATGGCTGTAATTCCCACACCTCCATAGCCTCCTCCGTAATCTTCTCCCATGATCTCAATAGTTAATACCATGTTCATGATATTCCTTTGTATTATCTCAATATCATCCTATAAATAGTGGGTTTGGGCATCACATTGTAGACACTTGGAAAACACTTGATGAAATAAGAAAGTTCTCTTTTCCCTCTATATCTCTTGTCTATTTTCTTTTATTGTTATTTTGAGCTATATTTCGTAACACGTTATCAACACGAAACTCTAATTTTTTATTTCACTTATCATCTTAAAATACGAAAATAACCAAGTCCGTGGTTGAACTACAAAAATGTTGACTACCTAGAATCAGTTACGTTGCCAATGGAAGCTCGAGTATTTCATATGCGAATCAATTTGCTTCAATTGTCCAGGAAGTGTTTTTTTTTTCATTCTTCCTATCATTTTTAATATTTGGGATTTAAGATTTGGTATTGTTCATATTACAAAAAATACAATATTATTTGTGCAGGAAAATGAGCTGGTTGAATCAAGAAGAACCATATCCAATCTTTTGATTTGCCTATGTATTATATGTGTCTGTGGGCAGTCACTTTTTGGTAATTGATGGAAAATATACAGTGACGCAGGGCATTAGAATTAGAAATCTGATTTTTATAAAAAGAAAAAAATGACAGTATTGTAGATTAAACTCAAATAACTTACGTTGCTATTCATTTTGCTGTGACCTTCGCTACAGTGTTATCTAAGTCTCCCCGTGATTAAAGGCTTAACGCACTATAGCCTATTATGCCAAAAGGTTAAGGATAAGATGGTGGGTTTTAAGTCTCAACGCACGGTAAGACATAATGTTTTGAGTCCTGATGCTCCATGATTGTAAGAGTTGGATTCGAGTCCCAATTCATTATGGCCTAACATGCCTTTATATGAGTAAGGCATTGGGATTGAGTCTCAATGCAATATATTGATGACTAAAGAAAAATAATCTTTCAATGGTGAAGGAAATATGTATCGATGTGGTGTGTAAATACGAGGCATGTTCAAATGATTATGGTCCATTCCTTGAAAATGTGACTTTTGATAAGCATTGCAAATGGAGACTCATTCTTGAAAGTGAATGTGAAAATATATATGTGATACAAATTATACAGAATAATGTGCTTATACATGGTTGAATAAATATGACAACTCACCTCTAAGGAAGGTTAGAGAAAGAAAAATAATGAATATTATTATGTGATTACATGGATATGTCATTGGTCGCGTACATGTGGTACTCCAAAAATATTTTGTCATGCCTTATAAAAAGTTATTAAAGATAAAATTAAAGCAAAAAATAATTTTGCTTATGATGATTTTGACATGATAATTATTATGATATGATTTTTTCTTTGAATGAGACATTCACCATATGGATGGTGTGAAAAAAGATCTTGTAGTACAAAATAAATTAAGAGCTCCGAAAGAGCTAATTTGTTACTACCCGGATGGATGAAATTGTTCATGACATTAATATTATAGTAAGTCTCAAAAGAAACCTTTTGAGTTTCCATTGTATAAGCCAAAGTGGTTGATATATTGAGACTACAAATAAAAAGAAGATTGAATATTTTCATATTACTATAATCATACGGGGTAAATATAAAAGGTTACCCGAGTTTCTTTCTATTTGTACTAAACAAGTATAAGTATGATGACGCAATTACATGCCACAAGTAAACAAGAAGTTTACTGAAACAAATATTAGTTGGCATGACCGGTTGGCCATCCCGGTTCAATTATGATGCGAAAATTAATTGAGAATTCACATTAGCATATATTGAAGAAATAGAAGATTCTTGAAGAATTCTCTTGTGCTACTTATTCTCATGATATACCATCAAAGGTTGGGATTGAATCCCATGATATATATATATATATATATGGACACAGTCACCTTTCATGTGGACCGTTTACTATTATATGATTTTAATAGATACATCTATTGTATGGTCACAAGTGCGTTTGTTATCAACTTGCAGTTTGACTTTTGCAGGTTGATTGCTCAAATTATTATAGCATATTTTCAGATTATAAATTATGATGATTTATCTTGATAATGCTGGTTTAAATCCAAGTTGGTTTAGCATAAATTATATGCCTCCAATTATAGCTAAACCATTGGTTATGAGAACAGAAATCCCAAATAGAAATTTGTTATACATTGTATTATTTAATATACAACAACACTTGTACGCATCTAGCCAACAAGTTATGATAAATGCTCCCTATCACAATTGGTTCCGGGCCAAGAATCAAATAATTTTCATCTAGAAATATGAATGTGCTATATGATTTAATTGTTTCACCATAATCCACAAAGATGGGTCCCCAAAGAAGGTTGAGGATATGTGTTGGTGATCCCAATATTAAGGGGAGAAAATGAGCAGCTGAAAAAGTAATACATGGAATGAATTATTATGAGTATATCTAGATCCTCGTACAAGTAAATATGAACTTGAAGTTCAAGTAATAATTTATTTGTAAAATATTGTCACGCATATTTGCTGACCCAAAGAAAAATCTCGTATTTCAGCTGCTAATGCTCCAAATAGAATAAAGTCTATGATGGACAGAGTCTATGGCATGCATAAAGCGTAACAGACCAATCGGTTCCAATGATCAAGATGGTCATAATAAGGAGGCAATTTCTCTAGAAGAACACCACGACATAACATTTTATAAGATCTCATGGGAGAGGCTCAAGTACCTGAAAAATAATGAGATCTTGATAACTTATGTCTTTATTGAGTGATGATGGAACCGATGTGTCCCGACCCAGAATTCTCACCTTCGGGACCGTGATGACGCCTAACATTTCACTTGCTAGGCAAGCCAATGCTAGAGAAATCCTTGAGCCAGTTTTTAAACAATTCAAATAAGCAAAGCCAATTAAACAGAAATGGAGCCAAAATAAAGTATGAAATAGCATAATAATCCAATATCCAGTATAACACGGATCTGGAGTCACAAGTACACGAGCTTCTAGAAGTTCTACATACAGAGTCTGAAATAAATACAACTATCTCGAATGAGATGAACAGTAAATAAGGAAAAAGGAAGGGGACTTCAAGGTTTGCAGACGCCAACAAATCTACCTCGAGTCTCCAAATAAGCTAATCCGAGCTGATGCACCTCACGGACAACTGGGACCAGTATTAAAATCTGTACAAGAAGTGCAGAGTGTAATATGAGTACAACCGACCCAATGTACTTCGTAAGTGTCAAGCCTAACCTCGACGAGGTATTGACGAGGCTATGGCAGGACACCCACGTAACTAAACTTGTACAGATAAAAATATACGCACAACATGACAACAAATAAGGATGTAACATGTACTATTGGGAGGGGACATGTAAAAGGGGTGCATAATACGGTAACTACAGCAGGTAATGACAACATGAAACAATCAATAAACCTTCAGCCAATGAAACGGATAAACATAATGAATATAAACTGCATGGCATCACCTTTCGTGCTCTTACCCTCAACCTCGCCATGAAACAGTAATAATGGCACTACATCACCCTTCGTGCTTTTACTCTCAATCTCTCCATAAAATGATAATACGGCACGACATCACCTTTCGTGATTTTACTCTCAATTTTATCATAAAATGATAAATACGGCACGACATCACCCTTCGTACTTTAACTCTCTTCCTCACTATGTATAAATCAACAAATAGAATATTAATCGGCACGGCATTACCCTTTGTGCATTAACACTTTCTCCCTTACCATGAAGCAATGAATATATGACATTTGGGAGAAAGAATAATCAAGAATAAACCTTACATCAACAAAGTTTCCACAATACCGAGCCTCAACTTCCAATAATATTCAATTATCACAATTAATTCATAAATGCAGAAAAAATGATCAATTAAGTAATAAACGCATGGATATCATAATCAAAGAAGGAAATAAATCACGAGAAACAAATTCCAACCGCATGCTTTAACCGAAGAATAACGCATAAGTACTCGTTTATCAAGTACTCCTAATCCCTCGAGTCAAGGTTAACCTTGACACTTACCTCGCTCCAAAAATCAACTCAAAGCTCAACCACGGCTTTGCCTTTTGAACAAGCTTCCAAGCCAACCAAATCTAGCAAATTCTCAACCAACGATTCAAAATAAGCCTTAAGAACTACCCAGAAATGAGAAGGGTTCAATTTAGGTCATTATTGAAAAAGTCAACCAAGGTCAACTCCCGGGCCCGCTTGGTCCAAATTCGAAATTCGGACCAAAACCCGATTACCCATTCACCCCGAGACCGTTTATGCAATTTGTTTCGAAATCTGACCTCAATTTGAGGTTAAAATTTTAATTTTACAAGTATCCCTAATTCTACCCAAATCCCCAATTTCTACCATGAAAATCCTATATTTTAGGTTGAAATCTTATAAAATGTAATGGTAATTGAAAGAAAGTAGGTTAGAATTACTTACCAACGAATTGGGGAAGAAGAGCTCTTGGAAAAATCGCCTCTAAGGTTTCTAGGTTTGAAAATTTGAGAGAATGAGAAAAATCCCGTCTAACTCAGCTTTTACCCAGCTACAGATGTCGCAATTGCGATATCATGTTTGCAGTTTCGAACATCGCAATTGTGAGAAATAGGTCGCAATTGCGAACTCCTCTCAGAATCCCAGTAATCACAATTGTGATAAATTGGTCGCAAAAGCAAACCCCGATGCCCTCGCAAATGTGGACCTTTTCTTCGCAAATGCGAAGATCATCAATAATATGTTGAGTCGCAAATACGGCTCTGCCTTCGCAAAGGCGGAAATGGTAAGTTCGCAAATGCGAACTTTACCTCGCAAATGCGAGGACCCCCCAGCCATGCCCAGGCTCGCAAATGCGATGGTTTCTTCGCAAATGCGAGCCAGATCTTGCAAATGCGAGATTTGAAATAGACACCAGAAACACAAGGCACCAGCTATGATCCTAAGTCCAAAATCATTCCGTAGCCTATCCAAAACTCACCCGAGCCCTCGGGGCTCCAAACCAAACATGCACACAAGTCCAAAAACCTCATACGAACTCGCTCGTGCGATCAAATCGCCAAAATAACACCTAGAACTACGAATCAGACACCAAATGTAATGAAATTTATAATGAAACTTTGGAATTTCTATTTTAACAATCGGACGTCCGAATCACGTCAAATCAACTCCATTTTTCACCAAATTTTGCAGACAAGTCATAAATATAGTAATGAACATATACCAAGCTTCGAAACCAAAAATTCGAGCCAGGTGACAATAAAGTCAAACCTTGGTCAAATCTTTAAATTCTTTAAACCTTTAAACTTCAAATTTTTGACAAAATGCGACAACTCGAGCTAGGGACCTCCGAATTCGACTCCGGGCATATGCTCGAGTCCCAAATCACAATGTGGACCGACCGGGAGGGTGAAAACATGGATCTGGGTCCGTTTGTTCAAAACGTTGACTGAAGTCAACTCCCAATTGGATTTAAGGCACAATTTCACATTTTAATCATTTTTTTAAACATAAAAGCCTCCCGAAAAAAGGCACGGACTGTGCACGCAAATCGAGGAAGGCTAAAATGAGATGTTTGGGGTTTTAAAACACAGAATTAAGGTTTAAAACTCTAGATGACCTATCAGATCATCACATTCTCCACCTCTAAAACAACCATTCGTCCTCGAACGGACATAGAAAAGTACCTGGACTGGTGAAATGGCATGGATATCTACTCCGCATATCTGACTCGAACTCCCAAGTAGCTGCCTCGACCGACTAACCTCTTCATTTCACTTGGACTGAAGGATAACTCTTTGACCTTAACTATCGAACCTGCCGGGCTAGAATAGCCATCGGCTCCTCCTCGTAAGTCAAATCCTTGTCCAACTAGATTGTGCTGAAATCTAACACATGGGACGGATCACCGTGATGCCTCCGAAGCATAGACACATGGAACACTGGATGGACTGCTGATAAACTAGGTGGCAATGCGAGCCTGAAAGCCACCTCACCTACTTTCTTCAGAATCTCAAAGGGTTCGATATACCTAGGGCTCAACTTGCCCTTCTTCCCAAACCTCATCACACACTTCATGGGTGAAACCCGAAGTAATACCCTCTCTCCGATCATGAATGCAACATCACGAACTCGACAGTTGGCATAACTCTTCTGCCTAGACTGAGATGTACAAAGTTAATCATGAAAAATCTTGACCTTATCCAAGGCATCCTATACCAAATCTGTACCCAACAACCGAGCCTCCCCCGGCTCGAACCATCCAAATGGCGATTGGCATCGCCTCCCATATAATGCCTCATAGGGAGCCATCTCAATGCTCGACTTGTAGCTGTTGTTGTCGGCAAACTCCGCAAGTGGCAAGAACTAATCCCAAGAACCCCCAAAATCTATAACACAAGCGCGGAACATATCCTCCAATATCTGAATAGTGCTCTCGGACTGTCCGTCCGTGTGAGGATGAAATACTGTGCTTAACTCAACCCGCGTGCCTAACTCATGTTGCACTGCTCTACAGAAGTGCAAAGTGAACTGCGTACCTCGATCAAAAATGATAGACATGGGCACACCGTGAAAACGGACTATCTCGCGGACGTAGATCTCAGCCAACCGCTCTGAAGAATAGGTAACTGCCACAGGAATGAAATCCACCGTGATACACTCCCACTTCCATTCAAAAATCTCTAACTTCTGAAGCAAGCCACCGGGTCTCTGATGCTCATACTTTACTTGCTGACAATTTAGACACCGAGCTACATATGCAACTATATTCTTCTTCATTCTTCTCCATCAATAATGCTGCCACAAGTCCTGATACATTTTGGCGGCACCCAGATTAATAGAATATCGGGAACTGTGGGCCTCCTCAAGAATCAACTCATGAATTTCATCTACATTGGGCACACAAATACGACCCTGCATCCTCAAAACCCCATCATATCCAATGGTAACCTGCTTAGCATCACCATGATGCACCGTGTCCCTAAGGACAAGCAAATAAAGGCCATCATACTGCCGCTCTCTGATGCACTCATACAAGGAAGAAAGAGCGACTGTGCAAGCTAGAACACGACTGGGCTCTGAAACATCTAAACTCACAAACTGATTCTCCAAGGCCTGAACATCTAACGCAAGAGGTCTCCCACTGACTGGAATGTACGCAAGGCTGCCCATACTCACTTCCTTTCTGCTCAAGGCACCGGCCACAACATTGGTCTTCCCGGGATGATACAAGATGGTGATATCATAATCTTTCAACAGCTCCAACCACCCCCTCTGCCTTAAATTGAGATCCTTTTGTTTGAACAAATACTGTAGATTCTGGTGATCCTTGAATACCTAGCACGACACGCCGTAAAGAATGTGCCTTCAAATCTTTAGCGCATGAACAATGGCTGCCAACTCAAAGTCATGAACATGGTAATTCTTCTCATGAACCTTCAACTGCCGCAATGCATATGCGATCACCCTGCCATCCTGCATCAGTACTACACCGAGCCTAACACAAGATGTATCATAATACATCGTGCCCTCTACCGATTCAGTGTTCCCCAAAAAGGCGACCGAGTCTAACTAAAACTAGCACTTTGAAAACTTGGCATATAACTGGCTATCCCTCAGAGTTTGAAGTACGACCCGAAGATGCTGCTCGTGCTCCTCTCGACTACGGGAGTAGATCAAGATATCGTTAATAAATACAATCACGGAGGAATAAAAGTAGTGCTTGAACACCTGGTTCATCAAATCCATAAATGTTGTTGGGGAAATAGTCAGCCCAAATGACATCACTAGAAACTCATAATGCCCATAGCGAGTGCAAAAAGCTGTCTTAGGGACATCGGATGCCCTAATCCTCAATTGATGGTAGCGAGACCTCAAATCAATCTTTGAAAAGATCTTGGCACCCTGGAGCTGATCAAATAAGTCATCAATCCTCGGGAACGGATGCCTGTTCTTGATGGTGACTTTGTTCAACTACCGATAGTCTATGCATATCCTCATCGATCCATCTTTATTCTTCATGAACAACACATGCGCACGCCAGGGCGAGACACTAGGTCTAATAAAGCCCTTATCAAGCAAATCTTGCAGCTACTCCTTTAATTCTTTCAACTCTGGCTGGGCCATACGGTATAGCAGAATAGAAATGGGATGAGTGCCCGGAGCCAAATCAATACAGAAGTCAATATCTCTGTCGGGAGGCATCCCCGGCAGATCTGCAGGAAACACCTCTGGAAACTCACGAACAACTAGTACTAAATCCATGGAAGGAACTTCTGCACTAAAATCACGGACATAAGCCAAATAAGCTAGACACCCCTTCTCGGCCATATGTCAAGCCTTCACGTAAGAGATAACTGTAACGACCCGACCGATTATTTTGAATATTACAACCTCGCTTCCCCCTTTAATGCAATTGTACTTTAAAGCTGTTGTGTGAATTGCTGGGGTAAATGGTTTGGGTCCGGTGAGGTTTTGGAAGGAATTGGAACACTTAGTTCCAAGGTTTAAAGCTTAAGTTAAAATAGTAACCGAATGTTGACCTATGTGTAAATGACCCTAGAATGGAATTTTGATAATTCCAATAGTTCTGTATGGTAATTTTGGACATAGGAGCGTGTCCGAAAATTCTTTTTGAGGTACGTAGTGGAATTAGGCTTGAAATGCCGAAAGATAAATTTTTGGGAAGTTTGACCGGGAGGTTGACTTTTTGATATCGAGGTTGGAATCTGATTCTAGAAATTAGAATAGGTCGGTAATGTAAAATGTGACTTGTGCGCAAAATTTGAAGTCATTCCGGATTGATTTGATGTGTTTCGGCACAAGATGTAGAATTTGAAAGTTAAAAATTCGTTGATTTTGAATTGAGGAGTAATTCGTCATTTCGATGTTGTTAGGTTTGATTTGAGGCCTCGAGTAGGTCCGTGTTATGTTATGGGACTTTTTGATACAATTGGTTGAGATCTCGGGGGCCTTGAGTGAGTTTCAGATGGTTAACAGATGAAATTTGGACTTAAGGAAATACTGGAAATGCTGCCTACTGGTGTGATCGCACCTGCGAAGATTTTGATCGCAGGTGCGAAGCCGCATGTGCGTGAAATAAGCCACAGAAGTGGCCAAGAGTGGGACTGGGCAGTGCTTATAGGTGCGAGAAATGTTCCGCATCTGCGAGGCCGCAGGTACGAAGGTGTTGGCGCAGATGCGGACTGGGGCTGGCCTGGGGTGAACGCAGGTGCGAAGGTTTTGCGCATCTGCGAGCCCATAGATGCAATAAGGGCGCTGCAAATGCGAGGTTTTGAAAGGTTGGCATTGTCCGCAGGTGCACAATTTGTTTCGCAAATGCGGATGCGCAGGTGCGAGCCCAGGCACCGCAGGTGCGGAAATGCCAGGGCAGTATTTAAAACGAGGGTTCCGAGATTTTTTCTCATTTTGGACATTTTGGAGCTCGGTTTGGGCAATTTTGGAGAGGAAATTTTCCATACAACTTGGGGTAAGTATTCTTAAATCCCTTGTGATTATATTCCATGAATTAATCTTCATTTTTGGTGTAAGATTATTGAATCTTCAAGAGAAATAGAAGGAAATTTCTATAATGTCACAAAACAAATCTTTCAAGTTTGAATACCGATTTGGAGTCGGATTTAAGTGAAATTAGTATGGTTGAACTTGTAATTGGATGGGTT